GGGGGGGGGGGGGGGGGAAGAGTGGAAGATGGAGTGGCACTGTGGCAGGGAGTCTGGGGATGAGGGATGGCAGCGGAGAGGAAAGGATGAAGGTGGTGGGTGGGGACTGAAAGGGAGAGTGGGCAGGTTGTAGATACAGAGTTCTCGTTGCACCACTCCTCGTCGCAAAGATGCTGAATGCATCTGGTCAAAACACTTGTCAAGATGCAGTCACTCGTCATCGCAAAGATTCTGAACGCATCTGGCCAAATCACTTGTCGAGATGCACTCCAAATCCTCGCCGATGGCGACGGGTGGTAGGTAGGCCCATTGGGTAGTAGTAGTACTCTCTGCTACTCTCTGCGACTGCATTTCCGTCGTGAGCCGGGAAGGCTTGCGGGTGAGATTGTTGTCACCATTCTCATCCAGGTCACAGGTTATGGGCCTGGCCACAACGCACCAAACGGGAAAAGAAGGGGTGCATTTCCGCAAGAATGCGGAGAAAGTCCTTCGGGACATCCGTTAAAATTGGAACGATGCAGAGAGGCCCCTGGGAAGGATGACACGCATAAATCGAGAAATGGTCCAAATTAAAAAAAACAAAAAGAATGCGGAGAGATTCATAATATTTCATTCGTTTCTATGAATAGGAATGACCCTATCCTGGCACCACCACCTCTGGTTAGATGCAGTGTTGCACTCTCTGGGTTTTATCCCGTTTTTGACGACCGTATCTTTCCACCTTCTGCTGGGACATGCACTGCCATGTTCACCCGAATAGAACGCCGGTTTATTATCATTGCACTATCTAGACAGACTTCCACCAAAAACAGCGACGATAACCGGGCGTTCTATTCGGGTGAAGACGGTCGTTTTTTCCTCCTGTGTTGTGTGGCGTGGTCTTCACGGAGGCGGGGAATCCCTTCGCATCTCAACCCGGAACAAGGTCCCACTTACACGGATTAGGAGATTCTGGCCGTTGATCTTTGCTATCTACGGTCAATATCGCTTAATTGGTGTAAGTGGGACCTAGCCCCCGGATAGAATGGACCAATTCCCAGAATAGGCACCTTGCTGGAAAAACCGGGTGCAGAGGCCCCTACGATGCAAACTAAGTTTTCTCGAATAAGAAAAACAGGGAACGGAGCGAATAAAATTATCACTAAAGAGCTCCTCGTAGCCTCCTCCCGTCTTCACGCGAATAGAACGGCCGGTATCGCCCACCTGCTGTAGCAGGTATCGCACCTCCTGGTGGGTGCAGCTCCCGCATGTTCCCTCGTTGGAGGCTTGAGCACGGATGTGGCTGTTACGGGTTCCCCGTAATACTATAATGACAATAACAAAAGGCCTGAAATATAGTCCTGTCCAGATTTGACAGGTAGTTGAATTGGTTGGGCTTTAGCGTTTTTTCAAAAAAAGAGAAAAGAACTCCCGGTCAATATTGCTATATGTAGACTGTAAATTGCACCAAATACGGCTATAATGACCTCAGGCTGGCGTTCTATTCGGCTGAAGACTGTCTGGTAATCAAAACTTCTGAAGGGAAAGCTGATTATATCTGAACTTCTTCTGACTCGCCCCAGCGGACCCAAGGAACCCCCAAGTAACCTTGGCTCTGCGGTCCGAAAGATGCCGTCTAAATTATTTATTTACACCAGGAAGACAGCAACGAACCATACCCTGGCCAATGAAAAAAAATCCAGAATCCTTCCACTGGCAGTCGGAATTTGCTGGCGATAACCATTCTGTGATGATCCTTGTTTGGACTTGCACTGCGTCTGCCCCATAAGCCGCAAAGCACATGCGAGATTACCATTCCCAGAAACCTCAGTCTGGCGACTACACACTCTCACCAGTCTGAGAGGTGGTGTTTGTAGTCTTCTAGGTGAGGCCGCAAAGCACATGCGTCGTTTGGCCATCCGTCACATGCACTTGCAGGGTTTTGCACTTGCAGGGTTTATGTTCACTCCCTTCTCCGCACACCAGGCTGTTGTTCGGACCCATCATTGTGTGTAGGTGGGGCCGCTGCAGGACCTCCATTTTGACTTCCAGTGAACTCAGCAACTGTTACATTGAAATGAAGACAGGAACCCAGCTGACTCCGAACGTCTGTGAGCAGCTATGCTGCTGCTTTTTCTTCCGACTGTCACAGACGACTGCCTTGAGAGTTTGAGGCGTTCGATCCAAGGGCAGAACCTGTTCTGGAGTTGTATTAAAATAGAATAGAAACATAAACTCCTAGAATTCTATATTCGATTACGCTATAATAAATACTATAATGTTAGTTTGAGGCCTTCGATCGTAGGGCAGAACCTGTTCTGGAGTGGTATTATGTGATGTTATTCTGCGATTGGATTCCGGATTGGTCTGGAGGGTCTGGAGGGTTTCAACGTGTTCTGATGACGTCAACCTTCCAATCCCTTGCAAGTTGCAAGAATGCCTCCCAGGAAGGGGGTACTAAACCTCTGTTGGCTACCGGCGGTCTTTACACGCATTCGTCCTACTACATCTGCACCGCTCCTCCAAGTTGCCTGAATAGGAACACCTTACCTTCCTTCCAATTCGAAAAATGTCTGCCCTCTGGTACGGCGGTCATATGCCTTCTCAAAGTCTATGAGGGDCTTTTTTTTTTTTTTTTTTTTTTTTTTWTCAAGGCTATGTGTATGACCGCAGTTACTGTATAATTGGAGTTTTTAATTTTGATAAGATCAAGGGCTTGTTGAAATATGGCCATGATTGCGTTGTTTAAGACCAGTCTGGCCAGTACAAAGCCGGACTGGTCTCGAGCTACCAGCTCAGTCATCAAGGGAGTTGCTAGTTGCTGGCCAGTACAAAGCCGGACTGGTCTCGAGCTACCAGCTCAGTCATCAAGGGAGTTGCTAGTTGCTAGCTTCCTGGCTAGGGTTTTAACCAGGATCTTCCCTGATAAGTTGAGTGATGTGGGGCGATAATTGCGGACATCCACCCTATCCCCTTTTTTATGCATTAGTGTGATGACTCCCTCAGTAGTGCATGTTCCTAGTGGTTTCTCTTGAAGCACGCTATTGAAAAGTTTGAGAAGGTCTGGTCCCAGCAGGTCCCCGAACATCACATAAAATTTGATTGGAGAACCATCTGGCCCTGGGCACTTTCCCTTGTGTATAGATACTTGAGAAAACTGAGTACAACATTCAATGGAGATCAATCAGCATGACCGAACGACCGAACAAAAAGACAGTAGTGAGAATAGCCGTATTCGCCGCAACAGCGATCGTACTGTTCAACGATCGCTGTGCTAGTTCACACATTCTGTCCATTCAGCCTTCTATCCGGAAGATAACAGTACCTAGCTATATGACCTGACTGTCCACAGTTATAGCACCCCGAGTTCGTAGACACAGAATTGTTCTGATTCAATGCCATCCTGACCACCTTCGAATGTTAACACAGACAAACTCGAACCCATGCAACAGTAGTACAATCCCTATGTCGGTTACTTCCCGTAAAGAAGTATAGATACTTGAGAAAACTGAGTACAACATGCAATGGAGATCAATCAGCATGACCGAACGACCGAACAAAAAAACTTGCCTTTGGCCATTCTGTGCATGGCAGTTGACCCTGACCTAAGTTCACAAAACGTGATTGGCTGGTCCCAAGTCCTCTTCAAGGGAGGAGAGGATACTGTTGGTGGACCCCCAAAGCAGTTGTTCCATCTCTGTGGCGACCAGAGGGGCTGCGCTGCCGCTGCAGGATCCTTTTCCGGTGTCAGAAGAGCTCGTAGAATAATTTAACGTACTTACCAATGCGGTTTGAGTCGTGGCCCTTGTGGGCTCTTGGCTGAGATTAGTCAAACGGATGGGCAAGCTCAGTTAACATACGTGTAGTCCCATGAGGCTCCTGTCTGACTGTAAAAGTTGCGCTGTTCATTCGGTCCCTGACTACCCGGTGGGTATGTTGTCCGCCATTCTAAACTTCTGCTGCGACTCATGTTTGCTGATTTGCAGATCTTGCCATTCTTCCAGGCTGCGGAGGAGTTCTAACCAAGTTGGTTTTTTACTGTCTGTATATTATTCCTTTCCAGTTTTATTTCCCACTAAAGTCCTAGTATTTATGGTTTACTGCTTTCACTCTCTTCTTAGCAGTTGAAAACGGCCGACATGAGGTGTAACCTTTAAGTTGTCCAGCCA